TGTTGAATTTGTTTTTCTATGATAATTGGTGTGATTTTCATCTTAATTTTTATGTGAATCCCGTATTTTTGTTGAGTTGATATTTCCTAGAGATAATTTTATTATGGATTATTCATTTGCAAATAATTTATTAAATAAATTTAAAAGGAGGCATTAATCTATTTGCCAAAATTTTGTATTAAAGAAGGCGTTGTTCCTTGATGAATTACTTTCCAATTCATGTTGTTGAAATTGGTATTGAGTTATAAAGTAAATCATATTGAGGCAAAGTGTTAAATTGTGAAATATTATTTTGTTGAGTTGTTCACTCTCAGATATTTTTGTTAAGATTTTGTGCACATTATGGTCGAGTCATGGGCTCCTTATTGTGAAAAATAATGTATTGTTGATTTTTATGACAAGTTGTGATATTTGAGCACTTGATGTGCAATTTGTAATATGCTGTAATATTTGAGCACTTGAGGTGCAATTTATGATATGTTTTGATATTTGAGCACTTGATGTGCAATTTATAATATGTTATGATATTTGAGAACTTGAGGTGCAAGTTGTGTTATGCTGTGATAATCGGGCACTTGAGGTGCGAATTGTGATATATTGTGATATTGATACGCATGGTCTGGGTGTTGAAATACATGCGGTGAGATAAGGGGGCTTGAAACGCGTGGCTAGTAGGGGAACTACTAGAAGCCATGCGGTGTAATAAGGGTGGCTAAAATGCGGGATGTTATTTCGAAAAAAATAATTTTAAAAACTAAATGTGAAGGCTCCCGCGGTGATATAAGGAAAGATAGAAATTTATTTATGATTTGGGACTACGAGGCGGTACCTCGGGAGTGCCCTTTGTTGAAATTTATTTATGATTTGGGACTATGAGGTGGTACCTCGGAAGTGCCCTTTGTTGATATTTCTCTATGGCTCCACTTGCCTTTGGTTATTTTATTTTTTCCATGATATGTTTATTCTTGTGTTCTTCTGTGATGTATTTTATTATGTGTTTTGTATTCCTTGTTGTATTGTGTTGGTTTTGACCCAAACGAGAAATTAAAAAATTATCGGGTTTGAGTTGGGGATTTATTATGTGTTTTGTATTCCTTGTTGTATTGTATTCCTGGGGATTTGTGTTTCTGGTTTTTACTGATTTTCGAGGTTTAAGTTGTTTCGAATAAAAGAAATTACTATTATGTTTTAATTTAATAAATTTTACATCCAAATCGGTAGCTATCGGATGCTTCATTTTAATTGAAATGTCATTTTCTTCAGCCAAACGAGTTCAAAAATAAACTCATTTCTTTGTTGATTTCTTACTTAGTTTAAAAATTATAAACTTATTTTATTAAAAATAAATTGATCTTGCGGATCTTATATACATTGATATTTTTGTACGTGAGTTGTCTGTGCGGTTGTAATAGAAATATGGGCACTATGTGCCGTGAAAATATAAAAGTGGGCTGAGACCCGTATTTTATGATTATGAAATGAGGTGTCACAGAGTGACTTTTATTTGAAAGAATTATACTTGAAGAATATTTATTTGAAGGAATTATATTCGAAAGATTTTTATTTAAAAAACTTATAAGTAAAAGATTTATATTTAAAAGACCTAATTAATTAGTTGTACTTGTGTTCCTTATTCGTTTGAGCAATATTTGTGGTGTTTTTGTTGCCTTGTTGTTCATATCCATGATTGATCTTTGTTGCTGTCACTGCTACTTGTTTTCTATTATCCCTCTATATTACTATATTGCACAGATTATTTGACTAGTGAGTATCTTGACTGTGCCTCGTCACTACTTCACTGATGTTAGTCTTGATACTTACTGGGTACCGACTATGGTGTACTCATACTACACCTCTGCACATTTTTGAACAGAGCCAGGTATTGGAAATATCGGATTTGGACAAAGATTAGAGTGTGATCGCAAGGATTCAAGGTAGGGTTGCTTGGTCGTCGCAGTCCCTTGGAGTCTCTCTATTTTTATTGTATTGTCCACTCTTATTCGAATAATATTGTATATTCAATCCTTAGGATCACTGCATGTACTCAGTTAGAGTTCGTGACTCAGTATTACTAGTCTTGGGAGGTTTTCTATATTTGTATCCGCTTTTGGTTTTGACACTTGTATTAAATTATATGTTTAAAAAAAATGGCTCGAATTGTAATTGTAATCAGCTTACCTAGTCTTAGAGACTAAGTGCCATCACGACGTCTGTGGTGAGATTTTGGGCCATGACAATTTACTTATCAAAATTTTAATAAAGTAAGATTGAAATAATATTCATGTAACAAAAAAATTCGAAAAATCCGACAAAGCCAAACTAATCCAAACCGATATAACTGGTTTGGTTTTGACAAAAATCGAACCAACTCGGTCCATATACACCCCTAGTGCTTGCATCGCGAGAATATCAGTAACTAGCTTACAATGCAATTAACCCAAACGAGAAATTAAAAAATTATTTTTATGTTATTTCTGAATTTGTTAGTTTTATTTTAAATTAAAATTTTGAAGATTCTATGTTCTTATTCACATAAAAAGATAGTACTTAAAATCATGTCATATAGAGTAGAATAAAGGAAATATTTACAGTCAAACTCCCCTTTAATAGTTATAACTAGGGGTGTACAAAGAAAATTGATAAACCGTACCAAACCGATAATTTGAGTCAAACCGGAAAAACAAAATCTGATGTGATTTGGTTTGGTATTGAAAAATAAAATATGATCATAATTTGTTTGGTTTGGTTTTAACTAAAAAAAGTCAAACCGAAGCCAAACCAACCCGATAATACATTTATATAATTTTTAAAAATATTTTATACATATAAATGTTTATTGTAATATAATTTATAAATATTTCTTAAACTTTTTCAAGTTTAGACTTAACACTCTTGAATGGTAAATAAATTTTATAGCTCATAAATGTAATAACTCAAACAAAGTTCAAATCAATACTAATGCTAACAAAAGAAATCCAATTCAATACTAGGAGCGACGATAGTGTTGGATAATTATTTTAGTTTTACATTGGTTTATAATGAAAATGCATAACTTAGTTTATCTTTTTCTTTAGTGCTTAGTTATGTAATTAATGTTAGTACTTATTAGCTATATTTATTTTAGCATGACCTACATAGTATTTTTAGATTATGTTAATTTTTATTATGGCTTATTAATTAGCAATATTTATTTTATGTAATTTTATTATTTTATCTTTATTATTAAATATTTTAGTATAATGCTATGACTTATCTCATATTATTGTGTTAGTTTATTGGAAAACATATTATATAGATGTATTTTACTAGGATTTAAGAAATATTTGGAGCACAAAATTACATATTTTATGCTATGAAACCTTTACCGGGAAAAAACCCAAAAAACCGAAAAAATCCAAAAAAACCCGAAAAATCGAGATTGAAAAATCCGATTTTGTTGGTTTGGTTTGGTTTGGTTTATAAATTTAAAAACACGACAACATTGGCTTGGTTTGATAATTGAAAATTCCGAACCAACACCCATAGTTATAACAACCAAGTTTCTTGGAACCAATATTTCATGTTATGTTATAATATTTGTTCTTTATAATAGCATTTCATTAGTAGGTAAAAATATCCAAAACAAATGAAAATATGATTAATGTACAATATGGGATCTTTAGTTAGTGGAATGACTGGAGTCCACACGAGGGATTGTTGATGAAAGTAGAGGAAGCGTGTTACACGTTATGATTAATCACTTCTCATCTATTAATTGTTGAATATGACTGATGAGCAGTATTAGTCAAGCTTTTCAAACAAGGAGAGAGCTAATATAATACCAGCAAACCAATCTGAATTTAACATAACATAACATATTGCTACCTATAAACACTATCCACAATCCAAGAAATTTATTTTTCTTTTCCTATTTTTTTGTTTGACAACCTTTCCCTGAGACTACTAGCAATTAGGATCAAGGGTAAATCAGTTCTAAAAAAAAAAGGGGAACTGGGAAATTCATGTCAGTATTATAATTTTCAATTTTCATGTGACTATCTCGACAAGAATAAAACTTAGTATGATGCCCCAAACAAAGTCTTCAATCCCAAAATTGGTATAAATCCAAAGTTGAATTTTTGGAGATCAGATCAACAGAATGTAGAA